CCCCTTTTCGCCCCAACACAAAAGGGTCTACTCGCACAGAAAAAAGAGTTTATATGTTCTAGGTCACAAAACATTTGTATTAAGTAAAAATGTGATATAAATTTTTTTTTTAACTAATATTCAAACTTGGCACTTTGAATCAGAAGCAGGTGGAAGATATCATGGCTACAGACCTCAAGTGCTTGATAAAGGATGACATTAGAAAACATAACCAACGATGTCATGTGAAACGTTTAACTTACAGTGACAAATGAGACAAATAGTGTTGATCTGCAAATGACAAGACAGGTCAGCTGCGGAACCATAATATAAAATCTATATTTAAAAGGAAAATGTGTGGATACAAACATGAGGTAGGGTGGATAGTTCCCTTGCTTGCCACCATTATTTCCTTGATAATTCCTACAAAATTTAGAATACCTATTTTTAAGCAGGGTCAACCTCAGAGGTGTTGTTCAAAAGAACTGAATTAAATTCTGTCTGTACCAGGACTTCTGTCTTGGCAAGCGGGTGTATTAATCATTATGCCACCACACTTCATACAGGGATATATTTTAATTAAACATTCATACAACAAATTAAAGTATATTTTTTTGCAGCTGCTGTATAAGACAAGACACAATTTTGTGACTTCACTTGTGGATTCCAGGGCCCAAATGTAAGGGGGGGGGGGGGGTGTCAGGGCTGCTGTGAAAGTTGGTCATGACCTTGGGAGAAAGTAAATTAAGGTCATTTATAGTTTGCACACACACACACACACACACACAAAAGGGGGGGGGGCATTCAAGCAATTAGGCCAAATCTGTAAAATGAATGTATACACAAAACTCAATTTCTGGAACAAAACTAAAATCTACAAGTGGGTGAAAAGAAACAGAACTACTGCATACACCATGGCAACGTCACCAGCCACCCAGCCCTAAATCCTCGGGCTCAAGATCTCCCACCTTATGACAAGTGGTAAATAAAGCTGTCAAAGACATTCTTTTCTCTCATGCTTTGAAAGAGCTGTCACATTCATTGGTGAAGACAGTAGCGGCAACATTACAAGATTTATTAGGGTTTTTATTCCCTTCCAACACTTTTAACCAAAGAAAAATCTCCATTAAACTAAATTAAATCCTCAGTAATAATAAACTGGAGACACAATACAGTAATGCTGTGACCAATGCTGAACACAACAACATATTTGGTGTTTACAGTATAAGAAATAAGAATGATTTAGAAGGAACACTACAGATGTGGTGACATGATCTGTAAAACACAAGAAAGCTGATCGTTTGGATGAAGGTCTTTTAAATGAACAGACAGCTTCAAATTTCTTAACATGCATTTAGATGAATATGTACAAAGAGACAAACTTCTGGTCTGGTTGGTAAAAATTTGTATTTCTAGGATACTTACATACTGAGTAACGTAAGATGCATATATATATATATATTTTTTCTTCTCTTCTCTACTCTTTAAAAGTAAAGGTGACCGGTGTGATGTGACCACATTACCAACCGAGTGCTGATTGCTCTATAAAATACAGATCTAGCCCTATTTGCCCATTATGCCTGAATGTGTGGGAAAATATCCTTTACTTTTCTCTAATACCAGTTCTGCCTTTCAGTATCAGGTTTTCATCTTGCATTTCCCAGCTGCAAACTTTCGCAAGTTTTGGTTGTTCCTCCACCTCTCAACTTTTGTTGAGTTTCAGAACCTGCGCATTGCGTGCACTTCTATATTACATATCTCCAGGGAGCTGAGTGGTCTCGAGGTATGGTGTCCGCCTGGAGGTCACAGGTTCAAGCCCTGTGGGATTTTTTTCATGTGGACTTCTAGTAATTTTCCCTAGTCTCTGGGTAGTAAGATCGGACAACTGTGTGTATTCCTGCGCACGTAAAACATCACTTGGCAGTTGGAAATATAAAAGAGTAGCGCTGCCCGGGCAAAATTTGGAGTTAAAAATCTACTCAGAGTATTTTAGGATCCTCGCCGGTGCAACAGAGTTCAAGAACTGCGCTGAGATTCTTCAGACTTGAGTTAGTAGAACAGATCACTTATGGGTTACACCTTGCCATGATGTTGATCCGTCGAAAAACTTAACCAAAATTTACATATCTGGTTTATTCGTATGCAGATTCCTTGCCTCTTGGGCAGATGCACTCTGACCTCGAAGAAAGTGCCCCAATTAGTTGACTCTTATAACATGCTTCTTGGGGAGGTCTATTCTTGTTTTTCCCCACAATGGGGCCCCAGAAACCACAAGAGGAGTGTCAGGTTTTGAAGAAGCATCTGGTGCCAGCCTTGTTTTGTGCTGCATGGATGATAATATTCAAGGCCTTGAATATTACATCTATCCATCGCTTGCAGGGCCAGCCTCTAGATCTACTTCTATTCTGTGATCAATTATCACAAAGATCTGTCTGATTTCACCGACATATTTTTGTTTAAATCAATAACAGACTGCTTTTCAAGCTATGAGGCATCATCATGTGCCCTGCCAGGTGACATATACACTCGTGTCTCTACACAGATTTGGTTATCAATTCCACAGATATTCCACCATGCCATCATTTCATTTGGTCTGCCTCTTCTACCAATTATCTTTCCAGTCTTCACAATGTTTACCAGTGCCTTTCTTCTCATAAAATGACCAAAGAACACTGACTACATCTTTCTTACAGTTGCATAGTTTTCCAAATTAATTATGTAACGAAATGCAGCTATGAGACACATTAGATATATGGTGCTATTTATATATACTTGTTTATTGACTGTCAATTATTGAGTGGTGTGGTCAATTTTCAGCCCATCCCATTTACTTCTCAAAATATTTCCTGGTACCAGTTTTAGGCTGGGTCAATCCAAGGTCACAAAAAATTAACCAGCACACCCAAAGATGTCTCCATCTCTTACAGCAAATATCTTAAGGTGTAGATGCTGACCATTCACTGGTTGTACACACATAGTACTCTTTTCCTTACTGAATCCGCATTTAACCTCAAATTCGCACAAACTTGCACGTGCTGTTACACGTAGCACTGTATCTTCCATAAGCATTCATTCACACACAGTCTTTAGAATGTCAGCCTTATCCATTATGAGTGTAAATGAACAGCCATCTCAAGTGTATGTCATGTGCTACAAGAGCTAACATTCTAGAAGCTGTAAGCTTCTGGGTATTTACACAACATATACATTCTCAGCTAATACTGTTGACAAAATAAATAAATAACCTACTATGAAAATCTTGGGGGCCACCAGCTGAATCCTTCTGGTCTAGGGTTCAAATAAATGTAGCAAAGAAACACCTCTAGCAACTTTAAATGATTGAGACATACTCTTGGTATTAAAGAGAGAGTTCAGCACCATGGATCCTCACAGATGAGACATGCGAAAGAATATATGAGATAGGACATTGAACTACGAAGAGAACAGCTATTGAGATGCATATCTGACAGAAATATTCAACAGTGAAATAACTGGCAGAGACATTTTACAAGAGACACGTAATCATGAGGATAGGAACACATTAAACAGCACAGTACCAAAACACCAGAAGCAGGTGGCAGCCATAATAATTAGTGACAGTTATAGTGAGGAACAAGAGACAAACAGTGCAACTCGACATCAAGCTACAATATATACTCATGATGCAGACTGCATCAGATAAAATGCCTAGATTAGATCAAAAAGACGCTAGATGCGCAGATACTATTTAAAGTATCCTCTTAGGAACAGTCCGGCACCATCCAGAAAACAGATGTTTGTGTGCACACATGTATGAGCACGCCTTATGCATGTGGGTGTGATATACTTTACAGACATGATATATATATATATAGAGTGATTGTACTATCTGTCTATATAATTCATTCCCTCTTGGTTTCCATTATCCCATCAATTTATAAAAATGTTATCACAGGCTTTATTCATATGTACCACACACATACACAAAAAACACTTCTAGAAAATTATTTTAAAATGCATTCAAAACATACTGAACATCTTCTTGTGACACTGATATAAACAACTAACAATAAAATGGTCTACAATACAATCCATATAAAAAAAAACACATACACGTCAATACTGAAACTATACGTCATATTTCCCCGAGTATAAGACGATCCTATATTTAAGACACACCTTGATGTTGGGACCAGAAAAATGGAGAAAAAAAGTGATTTCATAAAGTTACTTAACTCATATTTTATTTGTAACATATTCCAGAAAACTCATCGTGACAGTAAAAACTCATTCATATGACAGTTCTTTAGCTTGTCCTTGTCTCTGTCTGATGACGAATCAATGTCTTCATATTATTTCCTCATCCTCAGTTCCATCTGTGACATTTGAAATGCCACACTTCTTGAATGACTTGACAATGATTCAATCTTCCCATTACCCCAGGATCTGTTCACTCAGCTACGAACATCTCCTACAGTTGTTTCTTCAAACTACCTGCTGGTGTCAAATTGGTTTCATTTGTCTCTCATGGCAACTTTCAAGGGTTTGTTAATGCTGACATCAAGTGGTTGAATCTTAGTGGACACAGGAATCCATAATGTAACAAGCGCAATACAATGCACACAAAGATATTTTCTAACAAACCATCTGGTTAAAAAATCTACTGCCACAGTATAAGACGCACATTGTTTTTAGACCCTACGTTTCTGGAAAATAAGTGTGTCTTATAATTGGGGAAATATGTTTTCTTCTTCTTCTTCCTTTCTAACCCCCCACTGAAGCATAGGCCCTCAACCAACTCACGCCAAGCCATTCTATCTTATGCTATCCCATGTCCTACCCATACGTTATGTTGTACATTCAGAAAATAACAAGCAACAAAAAAAACAACTTCAAAAAATCCCTCAAGTATTCAGATCCCTGTAGAAATGAACATGATTATAAAACCATTAAAAAATACCCAGTTTATTATGTTGACCCTATTTCTTGACAACTTTGAAGAATGAAGTCTTATTACAAGCTACTATTCTTTGCAATCCTTTCTACACTCCATCAATGAAATCTGGCGTGGATTGATTGATTCTTGAATTTATAACAGCAGCTCTGTATGTGGCTAGTGTGCCAAGGGCAGATAAAGCAATCATGAGGTAAAACATGCCGGACCATCCTGTGTAGGCGGTGACAATGCCAATTATGGGCCCTTCGATACAGGTTCCAATGCTGCCAAATCCTAGGAATAGGTAGGGAAAAAAATCAGTAAGTGGAAATCAGAAACTGGCAGAATAAAAATTCATAGTCACCAATAAAAGGCTGCCATATAATAAGAAAAAAAAAAAGGGTCTCTGTGGAAAAGTGGTTGAGCTATTTGCCTCCAAATCTGAAGGTTCTGAGTTTAGTTTTGAATTCAATCATTCAGTTAATTAGTGAACAGTTTTTGGAGATCCTAGGGGGTTATCGGTGGAGCTCCTGCCTTGCGTGAAGCCACATCAGTGAGCAGCCACTCCTCTGAGACAGAGATTCAGTCATGTTGGGTAAAACTGGTGCAATGAAGTTAATCCTTTCTTTCTTTTTCCACCCCCATCTTTATAATAATAGGAATTTTTTGTTTGTTTAAATAACAGAGTGCTGAAGTTTCAGTGATCTGTAACATGCCCAATCAAGAAAGCTTATCAACATGCACATGCCGATAATAAAGACTTCAGCTACCCTCCGAATAACGGGCACATATTATGGCGGCCGCAAAAACACCCTAACAGAGCCTCAGTCACGCGGCGTGGGGGATACTCTCGGCGGTGGTCGCCTGAAGTTTGCAAATTAAGTCGCCGGAAGTGCGCAATTGACACGTGACTGAGGCCCTGTTTTTTCTTTGCCATATTTTGTGTCCGTTATTTGGAGGATAGCCAAGACTTCAATTTCTATTCTTATCCTAAATTGGTATGACTATTTTTTTTATAGTTTTTCAATACTATTCCTCTATTTAGAGGAATGGATGGGCAAGAAATAAAAATGACAGCCTCCAGTAGAACAAAACATCAATTTAACACATTAAAAAATGCCCTGATTTTTTTAACCCTTTCAATCCTGAGCAATGCTAGGTGTGTTCTCAGCAACTGCCCATGTGTATCATCACTACAACACACTGTGTTATTGTATGTTATTGTATGTTGATGTTGTGTACTAAAGTAAATCTGGCTAAATATTTTACAATGCAGCCGAGTATACGTTGTGTCTTTGAATACGAAACATTAATGCTTCTTCCTGTGGTTTTTGTGCCAGAGGGGGTTTTGGCTGTGAAATAACTGGGCCTGAAAGAGTCAGATTATGTCTGTACCAAGCAATATTTTGCACTGTCAACTGACATGATTTACTATTTCCAACACCTTACGGCCCTATCCAGTTACTACATTCACCCACTTGACAGCAATTCTTACCTTAATACCTCCTGTCCCATCAGACTATTACTTCAACTCCTCATTCCTAAACTGATATTTAAATAACTGTTTTTCCTGTGTGGGTTCCATGGCACCATTGTGGGGAAACAAGAACAGACCCACTGCCCCCCCCCTCCCCTTCCCTCCCCCAAAGCATGTCGTAGGAGTCCACTAATTTGGGGCTTCCTTTGAAGTCAGAGTTCAACTGCCTGAGAGGTAAGACACAGCCAAATGCACACAAAAAAGCTAGTAAAATGGATGTAGGCGCAACATTCAGGTGCTGGCACAAAGCCAGTCTAAATGGGCAAAAAACCATGACTTAACGCTGGAGCTTACAGCCGGTGAACAATGAAGAAGAAGAAATCAACTGTTTGCCTGTTTGGCAAAGCAAACATCTTAACCTGCACAGTTTGGGGCATCCACATTTAAGCTTAGAGGAGGTGGGTTAAAAGATAATAAATATTGACACAAATAAATGATTGTCTTCAAGGAAAAAAACAAAAAGAACATGACCAACGAGAACTGTCTTGAGTCTAGGAAACTATGGGGAGGAAAAGAGACAGAAAAATGGAGAGGGGATAAGAAGAGAGAAACAGAAAAAGATGGAGGGAGACAAGAGGGAAAGAGTGGCAGATAATGTGGGGATAGAGGGTAGGAGGGTGAGAGAAGGGGTGGGGGACTCACCATTAACAAGTCCTATTGTAGCAGTGGCAGCATTTCTATTCTGCTTCTCTACTATTTCAGCTGGAACAGTACCACCTGAAATACCCACAAGAGGTAATGACATGTATGATTATATCCTTCCTTAATTTACCCGCTGTAACAGACTTTCTATCTATCTATTGTCTTCTTCACTTTTACTGGGTTGCAGCCCAGTGTCGTGGTTTAAAATATTTGTTTTGTGCCTCTCGCGTGATTTGAGTGACAGTTTTCTGGATCTTCTGGCCGTATTCAGCTACTCCATCTATCCATTTTTTCCTGGGTCTTCCTCTGGCCTTTCTTCCCGATGTTCTATTGTAAAAGGCCTTATGGGCAATCTGATCCAGTTGCATTGTTACTAAATGACCAAACCACTTCATTCTCTGTTTTTCAATATGTTCCATGCATGCTCTTGTTCCAACTTTGTCTCTAATGCTGACATTTGTGACTCTGTCTCTTCGTGTATTGTTGGTGACTCTTCGGAGACATCGCATTTCACACGTAGTTATTTTTTGCATTTGTGTTTTGTTCATTGTCCACGTTTGGCACTGATAACATAACATAGGGATGAAAATGCTGTTGATCATCCGTTGTTTGGCTGGTAACGAGATCTTTGGATGACGAAGAAGTGGGGCCAGTTGGTAGTTGACTGCATTTGCTTTTTGAACTCTAGCCTGTATCTCTTTATCGAGTCTTCTATCTTCTGTAAATATGCATCCTAAGTACTTGAATTCTTGAACTTGTTCTAATTGTATGTCATTGATCTTTATGCTTACATTACTGTGTTTCTTTCCTATGGTCATTACTTCAGTTTTTGAGGTGTTTATTTTCATGTCAAATTTTGTACAGTTAGTGAGCAATGAATCAACATGTTGTTGTAGTTTTTGTTCTTCTTCTTGTAACAAACATTGGTCATCTGCAAAGAGAAGTTCATTTATAATATCTGTGTGTAACAGACTTTAATTACTGTAAATCGTGGCCTACCAGTAAAATTTTCAAGCCTAAATAAAATCTTTCTAAAACTAGGGGTCAACATATATGGCAGGTATAAAATGAAGTCACTGACCATCTGGTTGTAGACAGCTAAAAATCACTGCACATGATTTTCTGTACCAGGCAGTGACAAATATATCTCACTAAATACCAAATATGAAAGTTACTGGTGCAAGTTATATGCTGTTTGCTTTACAACTTACATTGAGAAATATTATGCCTGGTCTCTCAACATACAGGTAAGTGGTGTTACTGTATGTGGCACCGAGTATTGTATAACGTAACAGAATGCCTAAGGTTTGGGCCACTAATTGCCAACCTATGTCTGGAGGATGATCTGTACAGTGAATATTGTCCTAACTCAGAATTCTGAGCTAAAAGTTTTGAAGCTGCCCTGTAAGCTATGTCGACTTGTATGCAAAAATGTATGGTTGTCTCTTATTTATATACTATGTTTTTGTGTGTGTGTTTTTAATTAGTCATGTTTTTTTCATAACTTTTGTTGAACCTGGTCTGCTATGTGGCAGTGAATCTTGGAATGTCATTGTCATTACATTTGTTTCTTCTCATTCCATTTCTCTGCCTACAGTTATCTCACTGCAATGTTAAGTGGAAATTAAAGACTGTGTGTGTGCTTTTTCTAATGTGCTGCACAGATTGGTCTACATTTCTCTAAGATTACCGTTGATGCCAGTGTTTCATCTTTTGCATGGTCTAAAACTGGCTCTGTGTTCATTCATTATATTTTCATTTCATTAATTTATTTCCATCAAAAAGTGAGACTTTACATATAAAATGTCAGAAAACAATGCTTTCTGTATTCTAAAAGAAAAATACGTTCTCAAATTCTGTATCGTAATCTATACCCACAAACACACACATATTCTAACATAAAACATGCAAGCACACACACACACATTTTTTCAGGAGGAAAAAAAAACTTGCTTAATTTAACAAACACAATAAAACTGTGTAGTAAAGACTACATGCTACATAAAAGGCCTAACATCAACTTTATCAGATAACCAAAAATACTCATGTAAAACTACTCACACAGCAGGATGTCGGGTCCAGCATTAAATGCGCCAGCAATGAACATGAACACAGAGTTGATGACCACACCCCAGGAGCTGGTAGCAATAAACAAGACCAGCGCAATGGTAGAAATCAGCACAAACAGGCCCAGTCCTCGCAGTGTCTGTCCAGGGTAGAATCTGTCATTTAGAGAGGGAAATTACGGATTTATTTTCATTTACTTCATCTTATTCACTTTTTTCATATGCAGCTAAATAGGTCTTTGGGAGCAAGTGAACAATGCAGATGCACATATAGATTCATATTAAGATAAAGAAAAATTTCAGGCAAACAATATTCCATATTCTCTTAGCGACATCAAACTCCAAGATGTGGAGTCATACACCTATTTAGGCAGTAATATAAATAAAGCCGGTGGAGCTGATAAAGATATTGAATCAAAAATACAAAATTCAAGAGCAGCTTTTAAATCACTAAAAAATCTTTGGATGGCAAAGGAAAGTAAAACTAACACTAAACTTAAAATGTTTAGCTTTAATGTCCAATCAGTACTGGTGTATGGAGTTGAAACATGGAGAACTATAACAATTCATAATATACTACAAATATTCCTTAACTGGTGCCTGCGGAGGATAGAGGGAATCAAATGGTATGATAGAATAACTAATGTAGAGCTCTGGGAAAGAATGAAGAGAATTTCGGTGAGGCAAGAGTTAGGGGGCGAAAAAGACGCTGGCTCTGGATAGAACATAGATTAGGAAAACCTAAGAAAAATGTAACTTGAATGTCTTTGCAATGGAACCAACTGGGGCACAGAAATAAAGGCAGACTGAAAAACACAAAGAAAAGGGAGCTAGAGAGTTAAGTTAAAAAAAAAATATGAAGGACATTGGATGAGCTGCATAAAACAGTAAAGGATACAAGAACTTGGTGAGTTGGTTGTGGAGGCCTATGCTCCATTGGAGAACAAACAGCAGAAGAAATGAGAAGAAGAAGAAGAAGAAGCAGCACTTCACACTCCAACAGGAGTATCTGCCATGTTGCTATCTTTCCCTTTATTGAAAGACAATGAGACTGTCATCTGCACTCTCTAAGGAGACTCACCTGTCTAAGGCAAATCCAACTAAGGCACTTCCGGTGACACCACCAATTTCAAACACAGTGGAAAAGATGCCAGACATGCTCTGGGAGTAATTCAACTGTAAGACAAAAAAGACATATCAGCTAACAGCAATCCTGAATGAGTAATGACACAAGTTTTATAGTAACACAACAGATTTTACTGTTTTAAGACAAACATCTACTCAGCATAATTTACTTATACGTGCAAAGAGGCAGGACTTAGGAAGGCACAGGTCAGAAAAGACAATCACAAGGTTAGCCTGACTGTTGTGCGACACTAGAAGAAGTAAGCAGTGTTAAGGCAATGCGAGCAAATTGAACTGATGATTAGAAGGGTGCAAGAACAAAAGAGCATTATCTTCTTGGTGCTGAGAGAACTCAAGTGAGAGAACCTGAAGGCTGAGTTTACCCAAACAGCCTGCAGTGGCTATGAATATCTGGCCACATGTAACTGTCCAGATGGATGTCAGCATGATAACTGCCAACTGTTTCTACTGAATATGTATACATACCAGCGATTGAATGTAAACTTCATATGCCTGCAGAACACTGTTGCGAGGAGTAACCTAGAGTGTGTGATATATGTGAGCTGAGTGCTCTCCAGTCATGGCCCTAGACAACAGATCATGACAGGACAGACAACACAGATTGGAACAGTTTTTCAACCATATTGTAAGTCAAGTCCTGTGTTCTAGACAGTCTGTTGCCCAATTCAAGCTTGTAGTTCGTCACTCATGTTGAATTTTAGGACAACTAGAGCCCCAGACCTCTGCAATGTTACTTGGTAACCTTTGAGAAGTAGCAGTTAAAGAGATTTGTACCTTCTGACTAAAAGCTTGTATTTGTGGTCAACAGACACTTAAAGGTATACAGACAACAGTCAGGAAAAACAATGGCAGCAGTCGTGTAACAGGCAACAGTCTTTAAAAAGGCAACAGTCAAGCAAACAGCAGTTTCCTGTATACAGTCAATGGAAATTCATTTCAGAAATCAAGAGAAACATGGCAAAGTAAACCTCCTGTTCCACCTCCTCTTCATCTTCTTCATTTATTTCTTTTTCTTTCATTTATTTATACTTTTATTAGACTTTTCTTCTTCTCTTAATCATTTATTGTTTTCTCCTCCTCCTTCTTCTGCTTCTTCTTTAATTTATTTATACTTTTATTAGTCTTTTTCTTCTTCTCTTAATCATTTTCTATTTCTTATCCTCCTTTGTCTTCTTCTCCTTCTTCTTCTTCAAGTAGACATCAGATCTAATGGCTCTCCAATTCTCCCTGTTACATGACATTTTATTGAGTTCAGATTGAGTATATTGTTACTGGCCAGATTTTTAAGCTTTCCATATTATCTTTCTCTGTCTTCCTCTGCTTTTTGTGCCTTCTGTTTTCCTTCACATACAGCCAGTATTTTTCTATTTCACTTCTTCTTTTTGATGCCCAAACATTTCACTTGTCTTTCTTGTCATGTGCAGTGATTGGTCTATAAAAAATATGAGTCTTGCAGAAAATTACCAATAAATCACAGATGTGAAAAGAGTTCTTTACTTGATTTTAACGTTATGACCAGGATATCGACTTGGACCTCAGCTCAATTTTTAAACTCTGCCTCGATGGGGATGTGAACCCATGACGACAAAGCAAAATCATTTTTCACTGTCCTATCAAAGCTCACATAATCCATAACGAATACTATTTTTACCTCTTCCACCCAATAAGAATCTTACAAATTTATCCTTTTTTTTTTCTTTCAATTTCGGTTTTAAAAAAACATTTTTAAAATTTTCTGTACTCTACCCTAAGAAACTAGAAATAAAGAGAAGTAGAAGCAGCAGCAAAAATTCTGATTTGGGTAAATTTTTATAAATATCTGGGAGGTCAAACCCCCAGACCACTAAGAATACAGCAGGAATTCTGCTTCTTTGATGACATCATGGCGCTAAAAATTACCTACAAATTTCACTAACAGCATCAGAAAAAGAAAATCCACGCATCAACTTAAATAGCAGGAAGAAAATGCATTAGGTAGGTATAGGCCTCTCAAAAGTTTTAGCAAAACAAAATCCTGAGGTTGACTCGTACGCCAGGTAACTTGTACATCTAAATTTATCATAATATGGCCCCTGGTAGGGGCTGAACCCAGTCAAATATTTTTGCAGGCAAACATTCTAAAATCTAAGCCACCCTGGCAAATTTAACATATAAAGACATATCACTGTGCTTACAGCCTGAAGAAGGTACATGGGAAGCCACATGTACATGCAGTACCTGACCACTTTCAGACAGAAGACAGCCGTGGATATTTCCGGAATCGTTCTGAAAAATACAATATTCCCAGTAATTAATTACTTGGTGTTGGCATTTCTAGCAGCTGCCTAATGCATTTACTGCATGCACATGTTTCTAGATTTTGCTGGATTGAATCTTTCACAACTTTGCAAATGTGGCAGTGAATGGCATTTCATGTGGTTTTTCAATGGCATAGGAATGGAGCAGCTATGGTTTGATCCATCTGCAGTGTAGTTAAACTTCAACTATTAATACTACTGTGACAGGCAATAGACAATTAAACAGACACATCTCTAACAATGCAAGCAATCAGGGAAACACTTCTGTGAAAGTTTACAGCATCCAATGAGACAACAATGTAAACTTTAAAAAAAAAATGTTTAACTGGATCTTTTACTATGTATTTTCTTTTTCCTACCATTCACCGGCAGTAACTTCCAAGGAAAATTCTGGTCATTCATTCACTTCTGGACTCTGGTCTTATTCCAGACACTGGGTTTTGTATTCACTATGTTTTACAGATCTGGTTTATTTGTATGCAGATTGTTGATTTCCCAATTCTCTGGCAGATGCATTCCAATTTTGAAGGAAACACGCCCAAATAGTCGCTTTTACAACACATCTGTTTGGGGACAGTGGGTCTATTGTTTGTCCTCCACAATGGGGCCCCGGAACCCACATGGTGATATATGGATGAATGAGAAGGAGAATTTGTCTTTTAATGATAATTAAGGCTAAGAAAAAAGCGAGTCAAATATGTACATTTTTGCACAAAATCAACTTACGGTAAGCGCCACAAATCTTTCATTGATGGTTTCTCTAAAGCAGCACCAGTAGCCCCGGCTTGTGCCTCTTTTAATTTGTCACCACCTTGAAAATACAAGGTTTATATCCAATCAGGTGAAGGAGAAGGAAAAAACAACACTAAGCCGAAAATATCACTGATGTTATCCATCTTGGTTGGAAAAGCAGTTGTGTTCACCAGTTAAGAGCACTAGTTTCTCATTCAGGAGACCCAGGTTCAAATCCTCAAAAGATATGGACATTTATTCTGTCTAAAAAAATAGGGAAGGCGCAGGGGGTGGTTGAACATGGCAGTTGAACTAGCCATGGCGGCCCTTATTCTCAGGCTTCGAAATATAGACAGCTTAAACAGTGGAACCGACTAAAATAGTTGTTGCCCTAAAATAGTAGTTGATGCAATACTCCAAAATATTAGATGGTCCTAAACTTTTGGCTACCCCTGTTACTTGTAAAATGAGCAACAGTGATGTGCTAGGAAGACAAGGTCATGGGTTCAAATGTGCAGCAAGTCTGATTTCTGTTTTCTGTTCAAAAATGATCTTGCCTTCCAGGTTGACCCAGCCTAAAATGGATACCAGGCAAAGTCTTATGAATAAGGTAGTTTTCATGATGTTTACCACATCACCCATTGAGTGATGACTGGTCTGTAAAAATATGAGTCTAGCATTATATGATCGATGAGCCACTGGACTGAAAAGGGCTTTTTAATTTTTTTTAAACAATATATCCTACACTGGAAATGCGACTTTCACTTAGTCCTGCTTACTTCCCCCTAATGCTGTGGTGTTATCAAGTGTATGCAAAACTCTTATTAATGTTTCACACTGTTATCACAGTACACAATGTGGGATCCCTTTTCACTATTCATTAACTGGTGCCTCTGCAGAATGGAAAGAATTAAATGGTATGATAAAACGTGGAGCTTTCGGAAAGAACTAAACAATGCACCTGACAAGATACAGGGAAATATGCCTGGCAATAAATTGAGCATGTATTGTTTGTGTCTGCATTAGTTAAATTCATTATGTGAAAACATTGTTTTGAACACTGAGATGAACCAATAACAATATAACCAGAAAATGCTTGCCCTCGAACTCAAAGGATCAAAGGAATAGAGGGAGACCCACACAACAACAACAACAACAAACACATGGGGAAGGGAATTACAAAGTGAATGAAAAACTGGGAAGGGTGAGGAGAGCCAGTCAGGATAACAAAGGATAGGATGGCTTCTACACATTGGCTGCGGGCCTATACTCCATTAAGGGAAAAAGAACAGCAGCAGAAAAAGTATAGAATGAGATGATGCTGATGCCAACTCACCAAAGGAGGAAAAGAAGAAGTAGTCTGTATGTTGGATGCAGCTAACAACAACAACAACAAAAGCCATTACTAAGCCTTTTTTACTATTCTACATCAATTATAGCTTTGTAATGCCGAGGTACCGGGTTCGATCCCAGCTGCTAGCTATGCGCCTTGCGTTGGTTTCGACAGTGGTAACAGGGGGCTGACCGTCCAGAAAGCAATGGCAAACTACAGGATGTAAATTTGCCTAGAGAAACCGCACAACAGCCAGGGGCTGCTGGGGTTGGTTCTGCAACGTCCTGTAAAGGATGCGCAACTAACCTAACATCCATTATAAGCAGAGATATAAACCACGTTGCCCATAGAAAGCCATTTTCTGGTATTTACAGGTTTCTGATGACATGAAGTCTTTGGATAGTGGCCATTACTGCGTAGTGTGTAGGTATGGTGGGTATGATTATATTTGCACAACATTTTGTCTGAGATATCACTTTGAGTAAAAAAAGATCAATTCTGTTGTTGCCATTATGACGTCACTTGGCTCTCTGTGAAAGGGCTAACAAAAGGAGTGAAAGCAGATAATTCTTAGCTTTGTCTGTATTTAGTGATAACACAGCACATAAAAATACAAACAAGGAGGGAGAGATACAACACGAGAAAGAGGTGAGAGGTAGAGAGAGAGACGGGTAGTAAAACTATGCTGATAATAATCTGTCAAAAGAATACAACTAATGCCATCAAAGAAAAAACCTGTCTGCCTTTGTGCTGAAACAATTCCCCATCCCAACCCATCTTGAAGCACAATTAAATTTCTCATGTACCTAACAAATGTCTATCACTTTTTCCGATGTACGCTTATGGGTCTTATGAACAGTCTTTTCATTTATGATTTTAAAATTATTATTTTTTTTACATATATTTCAAGGTTACTGCTGACAAATTTTAAGGACTTTAGTCCCTCTTTGAAGTTTTCCAGGTCTTTTGAAGGTAGTGAGAGGGCAAGCCGCCTTTCAAGAGGTTTACAAGGTTTCAAGGGTCGCTACATGCCCTGTTGAATATTTTTTTTTTTTCCAAGTCATCTGGGTGGGGACTGCGATGATGCAATGTTTAGCATTCTTGCTTGTCTCCTCAATGATCATAGCTCCCTGTCTGGATTTTTATAAAAACTGACCAAGACTCCACATTTCTTCTTCTTCTTCTTCTCTACCTGTAGTTTCTTACAGTAGAGTTTCAGAGAATTCCAAGGTGCATTTTGTTTTGATACAATTTGAAAAAAAGGAAATTTTTAAGATTCTTACAGGACAAAACGGTTAATGCTTGTGTGAATTAAATTTGCAGTAAATATATAGGCACCCACGCAAACACAAAAACAATGGGTCAGTTTGGAACTAAAAATGCATAACTACAAAATATTACCAGAGTAAGCCCTAGGGTGAGAAGATTCTCGCCATAAAGACTCTGACTGAGAAGATTTTACCATTCTAACTTGCCTACTGTACCTATCTGAGAGACAAGACATGGAAACATACACACAGATTACAATTTGTAAAAGTAATTCAACAGGAATAATACAATTGCAAAGAAGGATTTTGCTCCCCTACATTTTCATGCAACTCTGTGGAAGGAAGGGATTTTGTGTTGTTTATGTGTGTGTGTCTGTAGGTTTGGTAGACTAATGGGTGAATGCATGCATGGGAAGTAGGTGTGTGTGGGTAGGTGGGTGCATGTTCACACAAGTTTATGTAATTGTGGTTTCTCCAGTTTGGCACCCACACATATGTGAGTATAAGGGGAGCATTATGCTGTAGTACAAAATATATTTTAGAACAAATACTGTATCCAAAAGGCAGATCTGATAACAACTATGTTCTTGGCCAGCTTTATGCTAATGGTGTCAAAAATGGACAATTCCTACAACTAATAATGGTGGGGGGGGGGGGGGGGTTATAACAACAGAGATGATATTTTATAAGAACTGCCACAGCAACAAGAGATACAATTAAAAATTAGAAGACTGGGACTCTTCTTCTTCTTCTTTGCCTTCACTAGCTGTATAAACTAGCGGAAAGTTCACTTTTGGACTGCAGTCCTGTTCCAGAACCTGAGTCTTGCGTGTGCATCCGTTTTATAAATCTGACTTATTTGGATGCAGACTGCTGATTCCTTGCCTCTTAGGCAAATGCACTCCGACTTCAAGGGAAGCTCCTTAGTCCACTCTTACAACATGCTTTTGGGTAGGTAGAGGGTCTATTCTTGTTTTCCTTATAATAGGGCCCCGGAACCCACACGGGGTAAGACTGAGACTGAAAGCAGTCACACAGTTCATCAAAGAGTAATAGATGAGATGTTTCGGCCATCTGATGAGAATGCCATGGTACTAAGTGCCACAGACAGCCACGCTGAAGAAGTAGAGTAAACACTAAGCAAGGGGGAGACCATGCACCATATGTAATAATAGCATTAAAGAAATGGAAATCATCTTATGTTACTCATTATAAGGAGAACATCTAAGATTCTTACAATTCCCACAAAACTTAAATGAGGCAACTGGAAGAAGAGAAGAAGGACAAAGAACTGTTATTTGTAACATACTCGCAGGGCATGCTTCAGAAAAAAGAAACCAGTTTTATATGTGGAGAGATGCTTGCTTACATCACTAAACAAGACTTAAAACAGACAAATATAAAAATAAGAACACAAAAGACACAGGAAGCTCTGTAGCAACAGAATATATTGGGAAGTCAAAAGAAACTTAACCTATACCAATACAGAATATTTAACTCTTATGTCAAATTAGTACTGCTGTATAAAGTAGACACATGGACATTGATTAAAACATTTATTAATAAACTATAAGCATTAATCAGCTGGTGCCCGCACACAATATAAAGAATTAAATAAATAGTACGACAGAATCAGAATGTGCAGGTGTGGTGTAGAACTGAACAAATTCCAGTGTATCAAGAGATGGGGAAACAATGCTGGAGCACAGAAGGAAAAAAAAAACTATAATATTCTTGCATGGAGCTCAAAGTGTCAAAGAAATCTAGGTAGACCAAAATACGCATGGAGGAAAGAGCTAGAGAGAGGTGAATAAGTTAGGTAGGACACGGAGTGAGATATATTAAATCGTTAAGGATAGGAAGGCTTGTTTTAAATTGCTCTATTGGGAGATGAAAAAATGTCAAACTCAAATGGGAAATAGAATTAACCATATTCATAATACCATCAAAACTAATAACAACATTAATTTTGTGGCTAGAAAGTCATTAGCATATGATACAGTTACAAACAAGAATATAAACAAACATTTTGGTTTATGATGAGACAAAAGTCATAACTAGGAGACACATAAAAGTACAGATAATAACAGAAACTAAACAAGTAACTAGGAAACACACAAAAGTACAGATAATGGCAGAAACTAAAGCAGTAACAAGGAATAACACAAAAGTACAGATAATGGCAATAATGGCAGAAAGTAAAGCGTTAGCCAGGAAACACACAAAAGTACAGATAATCGTGGAAACTAAAGCAGTAGGAAACACGCAAAAGTACAGATAATGACAGAAACTAAAGCAGTAGGAAACACACAAAAGTATAGATAATCGCGGAAACTAAAGCAGTCTTTAGGAGTCACACAAAAGTACAGATAATGACAGAAACTAAAGCAGTAGGAAATTCACAAAAGTACAAATAATGACAGAAACTAAAGCAGTAACTAGGAAACACACAAAAGTACAGATAATCGCGGAAACTAAAGCAGTCATTAGGAGTCACACAAAAGTACAGATAATGACAGAAACTAAAGCAGTAGGAAACACACAAAAATACAGATAATGACAGAAACTAAAGTAGTAGGAAACACACAAAAGTACAGATAATGACAGAAACTAAAGCAGTAGGAAACACACAAAAGTACAGATAATGACAGAAACTAAAGCAGTAGGAAACACAAAAGTACGTACTAATGACAGAAACTAAAGCAGTCTTTAGGAGACACACAAAAGTACAGATAATGACAGAAACTAAAGTAGTAGGAAACACGCAAAAGTACAGATAATGACAGAAACTAAAGCAGTAGGAAACACACAAAAGTATAGATAATCGCGGAAACTAAAGCAGTCTTTAGGAGTCACACAAAAGTACAGATAATGACAGAAACTAAAGCAGTAGGAAATTCACAAAAGTACAAATAATGACAGAAACTAAAGCAGTAACTAGGAAACACACAAAAGTACAGATAATCGCGGAAACTAAAGCAGTCATTAGGAGTCACACAAAAGTACAGATAATGACAGAAACTAAAGCAGTAGGAAACACACAAAAATACAGATAATGACAGAAACTAAAGTAGTAGGAAACACACAAAAGTACAGATAATGACAGAAACTAAAGCAGTAGGAAACACACAAAAGTACAGATAATGACAGAAACTAAAGCAGTAGGAAACACAAAAGTACGTACTAATGACAGAAACTAAAGCAGTCTTTAGGAGACACACAAAAGTACAGATAATGACAGAAACTAAAGTAGTAGGAAACACACAAAAGTACAGATAATGACAGAAACTAAAACCGTAGGAAATACACAAAAGTACAGATAATGACAGAAACTAAAGCAGTCTTTAGGAGACACACAAAAGTACAGATAATGACAGAAACTAAAGCAGTAGAAACACACAAAAGTACAGATAATGGCAGAAACTAAAGCAGTAACTAGGAAACACACAAAAGTACAGATAATGTCAATAATGGCAGAAACTAAAGCGGTAGCCAGGAGACACACAAAAGTATAGAAAATAGTAGCAACTAAATCAGTATGCATCAGTGCTTCTCACCTTTTCCAGGAACATCAATACCAACTTCCTCTGGTTGCTTAAACAATATCAGAACCAGGAAACCCAGCACAAACTGCAATATAATGAATGAATCAATCAGAAATTTACATCATTGCACTTGGGGGGATTCACACAGATGCACTCTCCCCTTCCACAGCAGCGAGTGAAGAGTTCTATATTGATAGTGTCAGTTGCAACCTAAATAAAAGTGCCCCTGCGGGCTGAAAAAATATCCAGACCTTCTCAATCAGTTCTTTCGAGGTATGGATACCCTGTTCCGTTGTAATGTACACTTAATCTAAAACAGATAAATGTCAATGTTTTTCTTCTTCTTGGTCCATAGTGTACTAAAACAATTTCAGTAAAAATTCAAAAGCAATAAATTGTTTCTTCAATGACTGAGAGTCCATGACTATCAGCCATAAATTATCAATTTGTGCAGCCAAAAAAGTTCAAAATTTGTGAGTGATGTTTTCAGTGTTATTGGTGACTGCAATTTTTGTTTGACACTATTTTGTTTTCCTTTTCAAACAATAACAAGATTTTGATCTTGAAAGTGTCCTTTGACAGACATGACTGATTGTTCTAGACTGATTGTTCAAATCCCTTGGCAGAGTTTGAAAATAGGGTCATATCGTCTAAATATCTGAGTTCTTGAACTGGATGCCCACCAATTATAAAAAGATCAAAACTGTCCCAGATCTCATCTTTTTGGTCAGTTCTCATTCAATTCTCTATAAAGATGTAGAAAAGTATGGGAACATAAAGCAACTGTGTCTTAATACCCTGTGCACCTTAAACCAGTCTGACTACCACGACTGCACATTATGAGATCGGCCGACATTTACACCTCGCTGTCATGATCGCACCCTCTGCGAGTGTAACGATGGACGCTCACCGCCATGTTAAAATTGTAACTTTTTAGACTAGTTTTGCTTGAAGCGTTGAGTCTATTCACCCTCTTATCCCACATATGCTTGCTGCCTCTGACAAAGATTAAATTAGGTGGACCAGTTGTGCTGCAAACCCTATAATTTTCCTATGTTTCCAATCTGAGATGATGAATGAAAGTCAAAGGCTATAGACTCTAAAGTTACATAAGAATGCAGAACTGACATCACAATTTGAAAGTTTTAATTATTCAAACTCGTGCACTGCTCCAAGTGGTAAATATAACCATTATGCTCCCACGAGTTTCGCTGTCATCATTTTTGGCAGCATATTGTTTGCTGCCCTCCTCATTTACACAGGACCGCAGGGTAGAATTTGGAATAACAATTATGGGTACCTAATTATAACTTCCTTGGAGGCTGAATGGGGTATCAAGGATTTGTCATATTGGTCTGCCATTCACAGAGTAACTCTTGAAGTCATAAGGATGGGTAAACCAGATAGCAGCTTGGAGGGAAAAAGCAGACAGACTGATTAATCTTCTTCTTCTTACTAGACCATGGTGATCTGTTAACTCATTTAATGTTAATTATGAGCTCCTAAAGGGCTGTGATACAAGAATAAAAATCTAAACTGCACACAATGCTAATTTTCATCAATAATTATCTCTGATACTTACTACAGTGAGTGATGGGTAAAAGTACACAGATCGCCATCCATAGTTGGCTTGGATATAAACCTGAAAGTAAAACAAAGAAATGTGACAGCTTACAGGTATGAACAGCAAATGTCCTATGGCAATGCCATCATAAATGTGATCATAAACATACTGGCTGCCTTTACCTTCTATAATATTTCTGGTACTCATTTTAGACTGCAATGACCTGGAAAAAAATGTTCATAAAAAGAGTTCCTGCCTTAAATGGAAGGTAGACATATGACTACTGGGTCAGCAGGCAAGAGTGACAGCCACTGTACTGAAAACGTTTTGCAATAGAGAAAAAAAAAACAAGCTACCTTTTGTTTGCAATGGGCTCCAAAATTTTAAGTGCAAAGACAGAGACATTGTAACCAATGTAAACTTTAATTTTACCTTTCTGCCTTCACCATATTTAGAGTATACAGTAACGACCTAGCTTGTCTCTGACAAGGTACCTGATGATGGAATCTTGCCTGCTGCAACATACAGCCAGCCTTTTGTAGAATGCTATTCATATGCCATCTTATAGTGACTCTGGTTTTGCCACTTTATCCATTGTTAGATTCAAAGTCTACAATAAAAAATGGAGAACAACCTAAGATTTGGACCAAAAGTTAAAAATGAATTTGAAAACAAATGTCGATGGAACTGATGAAAATTAAATTGGATGAATTTAAGAAAATTAAATATTATGGAGATGTCTTGGCAACAGCTAATATCAAGAGCTATAAGGAAAAGAAGATGGCAGTATACTGGGAACATTTAAGAAGCAAACAAAGAATCATCAATCATCAGGCAATGAAAAAAGAAACATGTGGTTTGAGGAAACGAGGTTCATCAAGAGAACACCTAAGGCAAATTTTGTTGAGAGAACAAATGAACGAACAAACAAACTATATGTTTAAAGGGTCACATATTCACATGTATAATACTCACAGCAAACATAGTTCCTATAATGCCCCCAGCAAACGCACAAGTTCCAAACATGCCAAACATTGTGTTTCTTACAGCATCAGAAAACCAGCACAACAGACCTTTGGTGCAGTTTGGCCAACACTGGGACTTTAATATGAAAGACAAACAACAACAAAATTAATGAGATCATGCTCATCTAGGTAAAAATGCTATTTGATTTGGTTCAAATATTTTCTTTGCAATTTTATGTTCCCGGTTTGTGTCAAGATGGCGGGATGTGTTTCTCTCTAGCTCGGCGCATATCGGTTGATCGACGGTCCGACAAGCTATCATCGCAAAACCAAAAATTGTTATAGAATCAGATTTCTGACTACAATGGCCTTGAAAAAGTCAACAGTTTCACTTATCTGGGGAGCAAGATGTCATCTACAGGAGATACCGCACCAGAAATACCATTTAGAATAGCACTGGCATCTAGTGCCTTCAATAAACTGTCTAACATCTGGAAATCAAAGACACTTAGCAAACACACAAAACTCAAGATCTTCAATTCTTGTGTGATTCCAGTACTAAAAAATGGATGCGAGAGCTGGAAATCAACGAAAACTCTAGACACAAAATTAGACAGTTTTGAAAATAAATGCCTTAGAAGAATACTAAATTTCAAATGGTCAGATTTCTGAACAAATACACAAATAAGGCAAGAATCCAGGTAAGAGTATGTGTCTAATTTTATAAGAAAACGCCGTTGGAACTATGTCGGCCACGCCCTTAGAATGGATAAATCAAGACTTCCTTACCAAGCCCTCATTTGGACACCACAGGGGAAAAGATCTCGTGGAAGACCAAGGGAAACTCTACGTAGAACTATCATCAGGGAAGGCTCGCTCATGGGCCACTCAAACATCCAAGACCTACAACGGATTGCAACGAACCGCCATGCATGGAGAGTCATGACCTCTGCCCTATGTGCTGCACTCGACACAAGAGGAAAAACTAACTAACTAACTATTTTATTTTGTTTCAATTTGTCTTCTTTTAAACTTTTCAGAGCTGAAAGTTTCCTGTGTGGGTTCCGGGGCCCCATTTTGGGAAAAACAAGAATAGACCCACTGCCTTCCCGGTAAGCATGTTGTAACAGTCGACTAACTGGGAACTTCCTTCGAAGTCGGACCGTATCTGCCTGAGAGGCAAAGAACAACCAACTGCACACAAATAAGTCAGAAAAACAATGTACATGCAAAACAGGCCCTGGCACAAAGCCAAAGTCCAAATGGACGAACAACCAGAACTTTCCGCCGGAGCTTACAGCTGGTGAACAAAGAAGAATAAGAAGAAATGAAAGTCAGTTACAGGTAATTTGGTAGCACAGAGTTTGTGCTGAATTTGACAAATGTCTAACCCTAAGCACTTGTTTTCTGAAATAAGTGTTTCTATGTTGTTTGTTTTGTGTGGGGTTTTATTTTCTAAATTATTTTTTCCCTAAAGTGTCCACACACACAGTTAAATGAATTGATATGCTGATTAAGAATAGGGATGTTTTGATGCTATTTCTCAATGAAAATGATTATTTTTGGGGGGGCTAAGTAGACAGCATTAAATAACTTTAGTGCTTGGACTTGGCCTGTCAACTTTTTTCTTCATCTGATAACTTGCCAGCCACGTCAGAGGAGGGACAAATATTGACTTTTCAGGCGATATTAAACAACAAATTCCAAGGAAAACACAGGACACATTTTAAAGACAAATTTTGGCGTAGAGGAATAATGGAGTTCATTGTACATTAATAGTCAAGCTTTCCATTCCACTGCTCACTAATAATTGCAGCTACATGTCCATTTCTTTTTATTATTAAAGATCTTTTCTTTTATTTCCACCACTTGCCTTTCCTTCTGGGTTCCAATGCATTATTTGGAGGGATTGGTCCATTAAAAAAATGCACATTTTCTGCAAAACTGAAGTTTAAGGACAAGATCAGAGTCCAGAAGTGGTCAAACAACCCAAACTTTCTGCTAGAGTTTATAGTTGGTGAACGCTATGATGAAAAAGAAGAAACTAATAACTGTCATCAATAAATTATAATATGTTCAACAGGGAGAGACTGTTGGCAATGAAATAAACAGTATCAGCAAAAGGAATTTTACCTAACTTGCCTAGTCCCATAAGCTGATGTAGCACAGTGGCTAGACACTTGCATGCTAAGTGAAAGGTCTTACAAATCAAGACATATTTTGTTATAATTTACCTCGGCTGTCAGACCAGTCCAGGCTAATATGGATATCTGGAAATGTTGTGGTAATTAAACATGCGGCTGGCATGATGCTGACCATATAACACATGGAATGTTAATTGGTCTATACAAATATGATCTAGTACCACACGGCTAAAGCCACATTGGTGTGGAAAAAACAAAACTCTGAACTTTTATCCTAATCCCAGCCAGTCTAAATAAGATGTAATGAATTTTAAACTGGTTAAATCCTAACAAGAATCTTCACAGATTTTGAGATCCTGTACCAGTCTCTGATGCGCAAAGAGGAGGATGAAGAAAGCTGAGAAACTTCTACTTTCTAACAATGCATTTACTTATTGTATATCAAAATAAATACCTGTGCTGTACCATTCAGGAAGAGCAAGAAAAACCAAACTCCAAAACTGGAGAAGTATCCAAATGGAAGCTGTAATGAAGAAAGCATTCATTAGTTACAGGGTAACAAAGACGATTTTTAAAAGTGATCAAAGAGGAGAGGTTAGACTTCACTGACCCAGTTTCCTCATATGAGGTTCAATTTCTCCCAGTGTAGCTGCTGGCAGCCTGCTGAAAATGTCAAGAAAAGTATGAACTTCATAGATACACTGTTCATTGTTCATTTAAAAATCATCTTCATTGCACATGAGATTTTAAGTGCTCTGATCTCCTCCTGAGTTTGTCTCTAAGTGTTTTTAGGCTAACAACTCCCATTCTGTTCTGGCTGATGAAGGACCGGGAGCTCCCATGATGTTCTCTTGTCTCGCTGCTCCAAATGGTACACCAAGGGTATTAAATCTACCCAGTAAAGAATCATTTTCCACAGAATTGAAAATCTAACTGTATTTACTCTCTTTTACGCATTGATGATGTCTCTCATGTCCATAGATGGTCTATTTTTTATACACACTGCCAGCCAGGGTGTCTGCCCTGGAATAAAAATGAACGTGATTTTGTAAATCGCTGAATGCTGCAACAGATGGATCCACTGCTTCTGTATATACAGTCATGATCTTTTGTAGCGTGCCCACTGAGTCGCAGAGTAATGATCCACTGGTGAATTTCATAGCTACAGTGACAATTCATTCAAAAGGATACTTTTAACATTGCATTTATCCCTGTGTGGGTTTTGGGGCTCCATTTAGGGAAAAAAGGGGGGGGGGGGGAAGAACCCATTACCCCTATCACGCTTGTCATAAAAGACTAATTAGAGGAACTTCCTTCTAAAATGGAGTGCATCTTCCTGAGAGGTGAGGAACCAACAGTCAGCATACAAATAAGCCAGATCTGCAAAATGGATGTACATACAAATAAGCCAGATCTGCAAAGTGGATGTGCATACAAATAAGCCAGATCTGCAAAATGGATGTGCATACAAATAAGCCAGATCTGCAAAATGGATGTGCATACAAATAAGCCAGATCTGCAAAATGGATGTGCATACAAATAAGCCAGATCTGCAAAATGGATGTGCATGCAGAACTCGTTCTAGAACAAGCCCTGAGTCCAGAAGTGGACAAACGACCAGAATGCACCACCACAGTTTACAACCTCATATGGCTTCAGGGCTAACCCAACTTGGTGAAATGGGCACCAGATTCTTTTCAGGACTGTCACTGAAGGAAAACTGAAACAGGTGAGGGAGAGAACTATTCACTTCACTTAATTATAAAATAGCTTGGTAAATGTGAATATTCACCATTTCATATGTCTACACTGCATCTGCAAGGGTTTACTTTTTTAACCATACAATATATAAACTAGCTCCCTTCCCTAATAAATTCTACACATAAATTCAACATATAAATGTCACTAAATTTCTATACTAGTTGTACCTAAAATATCAACAAGCTTCTATCCCAGTTTACGAGATCTTCTTTATGAATCCCCCCTCTTTCTCTCACTCACTCACTCACTCACACACACATGCACGTATGAATGCACACACACACAAAACTATCAACATGAAACAGACACCACATACCATAGATAAGGCTGACAACATTAAGCAAACACCAAAGGTTTTACGAGCTCCATATTTAGCGCCAACAGGTCCTAAAATTATCTGGGAAGAGAAAAGGCAAAGCACAACAATATAGTATCTGTTACTTTATGCACTCCGTATTTAGCAAGTCTGAAATTATCTGGAACATAAACTAAGCACAACAAAACAGTATTTAATTGTTACTATTCTATTCAGCTCTAGATTTATCGCCACCAGGTCTTAAAATTACCTGGAAACAGAATGGCAGAAAAAATACTCCAAGACTTCCTCAAATATTACATGTTAAAACAAATTAAAATAAACGTTTCCAAAAACTGAATGAAATAAAAAAGATAGTTAAATTTATATGAGAGACAAAACTGCAGATATAGACAACTTATCACAGGAGAATGAAAGAAGAAGATGGAAGAAGAAGAAAGAAGAAGGAAGAAGAAGAAGAAGAGGAAGAGGAGGAGAAGAAGAATCTGGAAACAACACAACAAAATATTAACTAATTATTAATTTATATACTCCATATTTAGCTGACAGGTATCCGGAAATTATGTAGGAACAACTAAATAGTGTACAAATGTTAGTTACTGTGTTTCATTTGCTTAACACCATCAAAACTTAAAATGTATGTGGAAAGAAATACCAACAATAAAATAGTATCCAACCATTACTGCTTATATACACCAGCTAAACTTTAGTAAAGCAAAACATAAATAAAAAGTTGTTTTCATTAACAGTTTTGCACTATTAGTGAGATGATAAGAATGTTAATACTTTGGAATAAAGAAACTTGCAATAATGTCATAAGAGGAATTAGGGAGGGTTGGTCATGGGGTGGATAACTGTACAATGCAGATAGCTTCAATTAATCCAGCCATGAACAAGTCTGAAATGGAAATAAGAATTACTCAGCCAAGCTGAAGGCAGCGTTTCTCCTGGATGATCTATAAAGCTATACACCACAAAGCTCACCTGCATAACAGCATATGGCAAAAGCAAAGCTGTATCCAGCCATCCTAGCTGAGATGTAGTAAAACTCAATTCCTTTTGAAGGTCTGCCTTTATCTGAAATACAGTGGGGTTAAAAGATGTCTGTACCCAAGCATATGAAACAATATTTTTTACTGCAAAGTTCTTTTTGGTTATAATCTGGATTCCTAAACTGTTTCAGGTTACCAGCTTCTTACCTGTCAAACCACATCTGAAGCATCCATATTTTGCTCACTCTCTCTCTCTCTCTCTCTCTCTCTCTCTCTCTCTCTCTCTCTCTCTCTCTCTCTCTCTCTCTCTTTCTCTCTCACGCACGCAGGCTTACACACACATCTCCTTACCCAAAGACCACATCCCAAAGCACCACACACTCAAACATCTCCTTACCCACAAACCACATCCAAAGCACCACAAATACAAACACACTTATCCTTACACACACAAAATATTCACAGCACCAGGCACACATTTATCATTACACACACAGGGCTACAGGTTGCTCCAGGGTAGTACTTAGTTATTTAAAAGTTAGTAGCATATCCTTTATAGGACTTTAACCCAACCACACCATCTGTTGGCTGCTTGCGGTTTTAGTAGGTAACTTTACATTCAGTATTATGTATTTTTTCATCTTAACAGTTTAATGCTCTGTAACACAGCTCTCTTCTTCGTGGCGTACATTGATATCACACCCAGGTTCATCTTTAGGTTTGCTACAGGAGGAGTCGATTGGAAGATTATAGACGAGGAGAAAGATGGTCGTGTGGATAGTGGTGGTGATGATGATGATGTCTTGCTAGCTGCATGCTTCTCACATGACTCTGATGCTTGTATAATAAAATGGCTGGAAACAACAGTTTTCGTCTATACTGTCTTTATTGTGATACTTCAACAATGTCACAAATACATCAATGATATTCTGAATAGCACTGTGTTCTCTCTATAGCTAAATACTCTTAGGTTCGCGTTGTGTTCTTCATCTTTAGTTACTTTGTTAACTGGTTCTAGTGTCTGTAACTGCCACCTGGCTTCTAGTGCTGTTTGGTATTAACCGCTTGATCGTCAACTCTAACTACTCAATAGTGTTCCTACCTAAAGTGTCACTGTTGACCATGGATCCATGTATCTTGTGTGTTGTCTCTGTAGTTCGATGTCTTGTTTCATGTCTGCTCTCCAGTGACTGTCTTCGAGGTTCCATATGAACGGCTTCTCTGCTTCCAGTGTTGAGCTGGCATCAAGGATCATTGAGACTAGCCGCTCTTCCTCTGAGTCTCAACGACTGAAGGCTTCTAGTGTTGGGCTTACATCTCTACCACTGAAGGCTGTCTTGAGAGTCCATGTGACTGGTCTCTCCTCTCTTGGGTCTTGTGGACTGAAGAATTGCTAAAGTGCTTAAATTCATCATTGAAACTTGAAAATGTCTGGGTAGTGCTTGCGTTCGTCGTTGGAACTTGAAAACTCTGGCTCAATGTGTTAAACTACAGTCTCTTCAAGTTTAATAGCTTCACGTAGCGTTGTTTAAAATGTCTTACAAATTCTCTGAAAATCTCATTCTGCTGGGTAATCGTAGTAAAGCTTCTCGAGGCAACAAAATTGAGTTTCTTGCATGTGTAGAAGTGTTGCTTACTTTTCGCTGATGCTTAGAAGTTCTTGGAAAACGTCACCGAAACTGAGCTTCCTATCTTTACATCTGTAAAAGTGTCTTGAAAAAATGCTTGAGATCTTGAAAATTGTGCGTGAACAGTACCAAAATTTAGTCTCTTGCTTGTCATTGAAAAATGCTTCAGGTCTTTGAAATCCTGGTCCTAAGGCACCAATTAACTGTACTTGTTCTACTGAAACAGAGTCTACGTTTATCTTCTTCTTTCTCTGAAATTCCACTGTGGTGCAAGTGCAGTCATCTAGTGGGCATAACGTTCCTCTCCTGGGTTGATCTGGCAAGTTAGACACACAGTTTACAAAAAATATATCTCAACAAGGCTTGGTCAAGGAGGTGTGGTCCATTAGTGACGATCTCCTTCTCCTTCTCCCTCTTCGCTGACCTCCTCCTCTGTGTCCACACCCGAATCCTCCTCCAGTCCCGGTTTCAGTGGGGGCTGAACGATAACTCCAAAATCGACTCGACTTAAACAATATACTTGCTCTTGTCCTTGATCATCGATCATCACGATCATACAAAACCCTACGTCGTCTAATATAAATTTTCAGGGAGAACATTTACACTTTCTTGTGGTACAAAAGTTCCCTTATTTAATTTTGAATTTTACAAGAGAAAATGGCAACCTTTGCAACTACACTAACAACTGTACGTCGAAATATGTATATAAACTCAGCCCCTAGCGTTTGCCTATGGGCGTTAAGTCTCTTGCCCACTACTTCTATTCTATTCTGACCTGCTCTCTCTCTCTCTCGTTATGCTGGCCGGTGCTCCTCTCCTGTTATGGAGTCCGGGCAGTCGATTATATAGGTGCCACTAGCCTGCTTCTAGAACCTTCCAGCAATGTGTTTTTCAAACCGCTACTGCGTTTCTAAAATATGAGTTTAGGAAAGTAATTCCAAAAATGTTGACAACATTTTATTTTTGTGTACTTTAAGGTAGAGTCACGTGATGTCTAGCCAAACTGCTGGTAGTCTCTAGAATCTCAGGCCAAGGACACCATATGCTTTTAGTCGGTCACTAAGCTTAGTGAAAAGGTTCCAAAAACAAGGATAAAGGACATAATAGGGCCTGTTGTTTCAACCGCTCCACAATGAGACGCAATTTAGGTAGGGACTCTGTTACAGCTCATATTGTGGAAAGAGGTTTTGGAAGAGGTGGGAGCCCGAAGGCAACTTATCACAGACATCATTTTACGGCCATGTTACGAGAAGAGGGAAAATAGAACATATTGTGACCACTCAAAAGATCTGTGGAAGGAGGGATAGAGGAAGACAACGAGAGAAGATTCATGACAGTCTTGTTGCATGGCATGGAGGTGTTTCGGCACAAGAACTGATACATGCTGCAGGAGATTGCTAATAGTGGAGAGGCATGATCACCCACGCCAGTCAGCAAGTCACCTGATGATGATGATTGTGGAAATCAATGCACAGCCACCTACTGCTAATCAGCTGCAGCTGAAGCAAACCAGGTATGTCAAATTATGAAACTGCATTCATAACCCCTAAGCAACAGACGCTGCCTGGTGTAGCAGTTATAGGTGCCCTAATTATAACACCTTGGGAGTCACCATGGTGTAGTGATTAGATGCTTGTCGGTAAATCTGAAGTTCATGGCTTCAGATCCTGAAAAAGCCTTTTTTTTAAAAATTACTTGGACTCCAATTATGAAAAAAATTGTCCCTGTTGCAAAATTTGAACACAAGAATCTGAGGCCAGTAAGAAAGCCTCTGGCAATGGCAAACTACTGAAGATAAAAAGGCCTTGAAAAATCAGTCAACAGCTAATACTAGAGCTGTTTTGTGATATCCTGTTAGGGATATGAATTCAATTAATATAAATTTAATTCTGGGCCAAATGGGCAGACAGTCGGCTTACCACTGCTCTAAAAAGTTAATTTTTTCTAGCCCAAGTTTTGCTGATGTCAATTCCCCATATCTGGCTGGACTGTACGTTCTAAGGTTCTGTCCTCCAGCTACTCAGCATCTGGTGTGACATGGTCAGGAGTGAATTTTATGTGTAATGTTTTTGTTTCTGATGTGACCATGGTGGTTTTGTGTTTTTAACCGCACTAAAAATAGTGTGTGGTCCATGATGTTAGAATGGCATGTACTTATGCGGTTTTGTGCACACACAATACTAGCTTTCATAGTTGACTGCAATTCTGGTGTGGGGCACATCTGACAAATACCTTATTCATTTACTTTGCATGTGCGAGCTTCAAGATTTTGCTGGGACTGACATATTTTTAACTAATTATCCAATGGGACAGTAAAGGACGTTTTATGTGATTTCTAATGGCACAAGAACAGAGCAGTTATGGGGCAAACTGTCGGCAATAAAGTTAGAACCTTAACTAATGACTAACCAAGTTAACATTTTTTTTTTTCAATCAAAACTGTCATTTCTACTTACCACTCCCAGTGGTTTTCTGAGAAAGTATGTTGAAGCATAAGCAACCCAGCATAATGAAAATGACACAATCTGATGATATCGCAAGGAACCCATTGTGAGATTCTGAAGACCAATCTGCTGTCCTCAAACTCTTTATAGATTAATGATCTTAGGTGTTTCACCAGTTGTTTACCCTGCTGAACCTACACAAATGCAAGAAAAATGCAGATATATTAATGTGAAATAAAGTAAAGGACCCTCTTCATGTGTTAGACTAGGGTTATTTAACTAAATTTACTGAGAAGTCAACATTTTTTTTATAGGGATTGTTGTGGGCCAGAAGTGTGAGCCCAACATAGAAAGATCTTTAATACAATAAAACTGGCAATGATCCGCGGGCCACTTGCTAGGCCTCAGTGGTCTAAATTTGGCCCAAAGGCTGCCAGTTGAACAGCTCTGCCTTAGGCATATTAGAGATATTGTGCTAGATCTATATTTTTAAAGAACAGTTGACACTCCATGGATGATAATGTCAATATCATGTCAGCCATCTTAGGGCACCATTTTAGGGTAGGTTGAGGACCCTTCGCTGGTTGGAAAAGAAAATCTTGCCTGCTGAAGACTGAACCCAGACAACTGTCTCAGCAGGTAAATGTTGGACCCAGACAACCGTCTCGGCAGGTAAGTGTTGGACCCAGACAACTGTCTTGCCAGGTAAGTGTTGTAACAACTAGACCACTGCAGTATTGCTGTGACAAAACTGAAGGATCATTTTTCATGCCAGTGATGCAGTGGGCACATGATGCTAAGACAATATTTTCTAGACCAATTAGCCTTCAATGTGTGAGGCAGTTAACATCATGCCAGCTAATTTTACTTCATAGGACTTTACATAGTTCTCATTGTCGACCTGGCAGCCAAAGTCAGTTTTCCAATACAAATCGATTTAGACAATGCTATGGAGGAATATCATCAAGAAAGCTGTTCCAGGCAACCAGAGATCGTGATCTGTGGAGATGTATGAGCGCCTACGCCAACTGCGGGGCCCATGATGATGATGATGATATAAATAATTTTGACTATTTAAGCATTACATAACAAATATTTATTCTGAGAGCTCGATGAACACTATATATCCCAATTATAACCCTGAGGGTTGAACAGGATATGTTAGAAAAATTGCTGCTACTAGGTCACTGTCTTATTCATCATTATCATACTTTTGTGCTCTTTATATGCCAAAAAGGGCCCACAGACGATCTTCTTTTTCGTTCTACCCTTTGTAATCCTATCTATATTGTAATGGCAGTAATGCAGTAGTGCCATTTGGTGCTCTCGCATTTCAGCCCGTTATAACTATCTTATTCCCATAATTAAGTATAATTTATAGGCCCTAATCAAAGGCAACACTAACTACGTTCTTAAACCAAGAGTTACCTACAAGTTACTAAGACAAACCGCAGTTCTAATTATTAGCTTCATCAACCGTTCTCTCCCACTGTCGCTGACTCTGTAGCTCCAGCAGACGCCAGTGACCAATCTCCAACGACCAAAAAAGTAAACAATCTTAATCATATTATCAAATTTGTAATATTTTTTAGGAAACAACAGGCGAATATATCTGCTGTTAATTACATATATACTGAATAAGAAATACTTGCCGAAACTAATGCAGTCTTATTTATTTAAAGGAAATTTAACAACAGCAGTTATCTTCACACGTAGCAAAATCACTATACTATAGTCCAACCAACCCACACCCACGACTGTTCCTGCAGACAAGACGCCGGATCAATAGCGGCTGACACTCCGTCTTTGAAAACCAATGACTGCTTAATATTATGCCTGTGAGAAAGGCAGTGAGAGAGCCGACGGTATGGCTGGCAGTGCGACTATCAGGAATGAGCCCTCAGAGGATAGGAGAGACATCGATGCTATAAGAGAAACTAAACGCTGTGAGGATTTCAGTTTCGTGGAAAATAATTTTTTGCTGAATAGACTGCATACCCTAGTTGTACCTTTTGGAGCCGGGAGACAGAAAAACCGCGCGGGAGCCAAGTGTGGTTAACTCATCCAGAACAGAATGCGAGTTGTTAGCCTAAAAACACTTGGAGACATACTAAGGAGGAGATCGGAGCACTTATGGTCATGTCTGATGTGCGATGAAGATGATCTCTAAATTAAACAATGCTTAACAATCTTTGCAATAAATTTAACACTAAATAAAGTAAGTTTAATCAAAAGTTATATTTATACGATGGCATTCTAAAAAAAAAAAAAAAGTGAAAAACGAAAAATAAATGGCTACAAATATTAGAAAAACAGAAATATTAATGAATCATCTAGTGCAGCGGTCTCCAAACTGGGGGTGAGTGCAGGTTTCTGGATAGAGAAAGGGGTACATCAATAAATTGTGAAATCGAGTGCATGTGTATTTATAATAAACGGTTGCATTATTCTTTAAAGTTAAATTATAAATAAATAATACAATATTTAAAAAAACTGTTTATAAAACAACAAAGTCAGTTGCATTTGTTTTCATAACCAGCCTGTATATCTACAGTTAAAAATCTAATTAATATGGTAATTGAGGCATTTAAGAACACATTCTGACTAAAATTGTCCTCACGCTGTTCGTTTCCCTTGTGGAATCGATTGTCCTCCACTTTTTAATCACACTGTGTTATGTTGCGGAGGGGCCGTGGGGGTCTTTTCACATACCAAAGAGAGGGGGGACACGTAACGTTAGTCTCCCCAGGCCGCGCCCATATACTACACACTAACTCGCTTCTGATTGGTAGTTCCTGAACCCCGTGAGCTTCACATAAGTTCAGAGGGTGTTTAGCGATGCTTGTTGTATATGCCAGCAAGCCAGTGCTTTGAACACTTCAAAAACATGGAGAAGCTGGCCCTAACACAACTCTCCCTGAAAGTGCTGCAACCTATGTCACATGCATTATTTTTCTCGGAATAAAAACGTAAATGCAAGACAACGCAGAAAGTGAACGATAAAGCGGGACACACCCGTAACCTTCAGTAAAGTCGACCAGCCCAACAAACTTGTGAATGAAAAGTGACCTACTCTTTTTGGGGAGATTACCGTTACTTCAACCCAAGGGTTTGGGGTGGCGTGAGGGCTTGCAATATAAACAAGGGAGCGTGGAAGCCGTGCCATATACTCAAAGCAAGTGCGACCTGAAAAGCATTGGAAACCACTGATCTGCGGTGTGAAAGCTGTACATCGTATACTTAATTATAACCCAGAAGGGATCCACGAAGTATTTAGGTTTAACTACCGCTGTCAGCACAATCACTATTAAAAAACAGTTATAAATTTGCAGTCATCCTCATGTGAGGTGAAATTTTTCGTGATTGAAGCTCCACCCTGGCTTTTGCCCGGGGCTCTGAATACAGCCGGGCCATAAATATGGCCTAAAGGCCATAATATGCATAATATGAGAATCAACACTGAAAAGACAGAAGTAATGTCAATAGGAAAAAAGAAGACAGATCTAAATATAGCAATAAAATACAAAGGCATTAAACAGGCATCTGAGTTTAAATATCTGGGAACTACATTTACCGAAGATGGGAAATTGGATAAAGAAATTGACATTAGATGTAGTAAAGCAAACCAAGTATTGGGACAGCTAGCCCCCCTCTTACAGCATAAGACAATCTCAATCAGCACAAAGAGACATCTTATTCAAAGCATATTTATTCCAACTCTGTGCTACCAGTGCCAGACATGGTCACTCACAACAAACCATAAAAGAAAATTAGTAACCACGGAAATGAGATGTCTGAGAAGGGCTGTAGGAGTGACCATAAGAGATAAGATCAGGAATGAGATTATAAGAGAACAAGTCGGCACATAACCAATTCTGGATTACATACAAAGACAGCAAGTGAAATGGTTTGCCCACTTAGAGAGAATGCCTTGTGACACCATACCATGCAAAGCATACATGGAAAGAGAAGAAGGACGTAGAGCACGGGGTAGACCAAGAACAATATGGAAGGATAACATCAGAGAAACTCTACAACAGCACGATGTACCTATGGTCGAGGCAGCCAGAAGAGCTAGAAACAGAACCTTATATCTCCCTCGACACCCACAGCGGTAAAAGAGGAAGTGAAGAAGAAGAAGAAGAAGAAAAAAAGGCTGCAAGAGGTTTCTGTGACCTCTCCACGGGTGATCCTCATCCGCATGGTGGTACTTTGTGTCACAGGGTGTTCATCGCTTATGTCCTGGTGGGGTACAACAAGAGAGAGGGAGAGAGAGAGAGAGAGAGAGAGAGAGAGAGAGAGAGAGAGAGAATCACTATTGCTACTATTTCAACTGTATTACTCATGTCACCACCATTACCATTACTACTATGCTATTACTAATACCACCACCAGGGCCGCATTAACTATTTGGAACACTAAGCACGTGCTTAGGGCATCACATAGGGTAGGGGGAGTACATACATTTTCAATAATCTTGGATCTGAAAGTTTATTTTCTGTCACATATCACGAACTTGCCCGAGTTACGCCGCGCGCGAAATTTGCCACTAGCAGCACTATGTTCTAGAGGTGTCACATTATTTTCATTCATGTTTTGTTATTTTCAGCACTGTAAGCAATCTATATTGCACGCTATTAGCAGCAAATCGTTCTATTTTCCACGCTGAGAGTCCTTGCGTGTTACAATATTGTGTGTTGGCCCTTCATCACTGTCAATATGGCCTTACTTGGTGACTTAAACTTTTGAACTTCGAGATGAATTTCTTGTTATGCCCCACCCACGCCCCGCCTTCTTTATATAAATAAGTACATGATACATAAATTAAAAAAATAACACACATACTCTGAGAACTCAATGAATTCTATATATCCCAGTTTTAATTTGAGGGTTAAACGTATATTTTTGAAAAATTACTTCAATGCTTTATTCATCATTATCATTTTGTGCCCTTTAAATGCCACAAGGGATTCGCAAACGATCTTCCTTTTCGTCCTACTCCTTGTGATCCTATCTATATTGTGTGTGTTATTCAGTCTGCCACTTTTGAGACTGTCATCAACGTTCCACGACAAGTCTCTTTTGGGTGACCTCGCTTTCTCCCT